TATTAATTTCCATAGGGTCTGAACAATATTTTCCCTCCTACATTTATTTGAATTGCCTCAGCGGAATAGTAAAAAGGATATTGGATATATTATTTAAACTTTTCTTCTATGTTAATTTTTTTCCTCCTTCCTTTGTGATTCCATTCTCATTAATTTCTTTCACTTTCTGAAATATGAACTGATTTTCCCCCTCAAACATTAAAATTGAGTGAAGAAATAAACTATTAATATATAGTTAGAATATAATAGGATTTTATTCCAAAAACAATGTGTAACAGAGTATCACCACTGTAAAAATGTTATTTTAGCTGAAATCGGTTTACTCAGTGGGTAGAGCGTCGGCCTGTGGACTGAAGGGTCCCAGGTTCGATTCCGGTCAAGGGTATGTAACTTGGTTGTGGGCACATCACCAGTGGGGGGTGTGCAGGAAGCAGCTGATCAATGTTTCTCTCTCATCGGTGTTTCTAACTCTATCTCTCTCCCTTCCTCTCTGTAAAAAAAAAAAAAAAAAAAAAAAATCAATAAAATTTATATTTTTTAAGCTGAAGCCGGTTTGGCTCAGTGGTAGAGCGTCGGTCTGCGGACTGAAAGGTCCCAGGTTCGATTCCGGTCAAGGGCATGTACATTGGTTGCAGGCACATCCCCGGTAGGGGGTGTGCAAGAGGCAGCTGGCCGATGTTTCTCTCATCGACGTTTCTAGCTCTCTATCTCTCTCCCTTCCTCTCTGTTAAAAATCAATAAAATATATATATATTTAAATATATATATATATTTAATATATATATATATATATTTTTAAATGTTATTTCAGAAACAGTTTTAAATGTCTAGTGACTTTAGCAATTCAGTTTATGGCCTTGTATTAGTTGCAGGCAGTGTGTGAGCACTTGGTGTGATCTGGGTACACACTCATCATTCTGGATGAAACTCCTGGACAGTTTGGAAACTTTGGTGCAGGTTAATAATTTACCCAATATTTTCCACAGATCTTTTGACTTCTGTTAGACTTCTAAAAAATATTCCACTAATTACAGCATAGGAAATATAGTCAATAATATTGTAACAATTATGTATGGTGCCAGGTGGGTACTGGGAATATCAGAAGGAGTACTTTGCAATGTATACAACTGTCTAACCACTACGCTATACACCTGAAACTCACACAAAATAATATTGACTGTAAACTGTAATTGAAAAAAAAAAGTATATTAAATGAGAATAAATGTGTCTTAAAAATATTCCATTATATTAGCAGCTATATATTCTCCTTTGCACTTGTTGTTAAACAAAAACTATACTGGGAACTGATGAAATTTGGGGCACAACCTAAAAATATCTTGTTCCTGAGCTAGCCTCCCCCTCCACTCCCACCCCCCAGAAAAACTATAAGAAGGCACTGGCTGAGTTCACTTGGTTGGAGCATCCTCTATACACCAAAGGTGGCAGGTTCAACTCTGGGTGGAGAAGTGTGCAGATATTCTTACAATTGGTGATAGTGCCTTCTCAATAAAGTTACACAAAGTTCATCCATCCATGGGACTAGCTTTAACACTTTTAACTGCACATCCCTTTCTTGGTCCTTCTCTCACAATCTAGACACTTTATTTTTCTTATAAATACCCACTGATTAAAATAATCTTTGAACTCTCTCTCTGTCCCAAGCTAGTTGCTTTGCTGCAGTCTAAAACAAAACTGATACATGCCCTATTGAATCGATCTGAAAGGTTTGCTCTAAATAACTGTAAAACTGTAAAAACTGTAAAAAAAAAAAAATAAAATAAATAAAAAATAAAATAAAAAAAACTTCATGGGGTGAGGGGAGGCAGGCAGCCAGGGCTTCTCTGGCTCTCTCACCCCTTACATCGCTGACAGGACTACTATCCCAGCATCTCAGTACTTGCACTTACTTCCAGATTTTACTTAAGCCATTTTTTTTTATTTTTTTTTTAGAACTCTCATTCTTATTGAGAATGGCCACTCTAAGCACATTCCACTTTTCTCTGAACTCTAAATTCATCTCTGTAAGAGAAACATCCCTAACTTATCTCATTTGGTCTGAATCTTCTTCTACTTAACAGCATCTCAGAACTCTGCAACGTGTTACATTTCTGAATATGTCACCTGGTCTTTCACTGAGTAGTTCTCTGTGCACGTCATATAACTCTAGCTTGGCTGCAAACTTCTTTGATGCCTGCAGCAGCCCTTTGGTGGTATATTACAAAGCTAACATGGAGGGTTCTTTATGCTCCAGACACAATGCTAAGTAATTTACTGCGAGGTATTTAAGAGTCTGCTTAGCGCATAGTAAGCCAGTATTAAAGGTTTGTTATTAATACTATTTATAGCCCTATGAAGTCAGTATTATTATCTTTTTTTCCCAGACAAGGAAACTGTGAGGCACAAAGTGTTATATACAATAACTAGTACAAAGCCATGGAGTTCATTAAGTGGCAGAGACAGAACTTGGTCCCAGTCTGTTTGGCATTATTATCTATTCATGTTCTTAACCAGTACATCATTTTTGGCTACACACACACACACACACACACACACACACATGCACGCACACACACACACAAATACCAGTCTTTCCCCCCCCCCCCCAATAATACCCTTGCTGTTTTCAAAGTAGTTTAACTTGTACTCAAGACAGGTTTTTGCTCAGAAATTTTTTCCTCTTTTAAAATTCAACTGCCTCATAGAAGTAAGGAGAAAGGTATAAGTATTTGTATCTTTCTGGAGAATTTCATTTTAATATTAAAATATTTAGAGGCCATTGATATAGGTGTCCTTAGAGAGAAGAATGAGGATGTTTTTGGTGGTGTTGTTTTTTTACTTCTAAGTTGCTAAGAAACTGAGTTTTTGTTTTTTAACTGTTAATACACTATTCAAATCAGCTTCTTTAGTTATATTTTCTCTAGTGGATCCAACCATTGGTACCTCTTATTTGTGCTGGTGGAAAGAACAAGACTATGTCAAGGGCTGAGCAATATGAAGAGTTCATGGGTACATTTATAATATAAATGATTAATTGTATGAGAGGCTCCATGATGATCATGTAATTCATCTTGCTTCTTAATGTGATTTCCGTTGGTGCTCACAATTGCTCTGTGATATGGCTTTTCTCCTAATCATGTTGCTACGCGTGTTTCCCCGAAAATAAGACATCCTCCGAAAATAAGACCTAGCGCATGGAAAGATAAGACATCCCCTGAAAATAAGACCTAGCGCAACTTTGGGAGAAAAAATTAATATAAGACACTGTCTTATTTTGGGGGAAACGAGGTAGATTATTGAGGGAGAAATGCCTCCTGTTGATGCTGTCTCCTAGGGCTCTACAGAGGCCTTTGCCTTCCTTCCCATCTCCCCTCCTCTCTTCCTTTCCCTCCTATGCCACCTGCCATCTTCTTCCAGAGCGGCCAGGGCCAGAGCCTGCCTGAAGGGACCTGGGCCTGGGGCTCTCTGAAAGGCTCCCGGGGTCACTGCGGACCAGTCAGGTGACAGATTCTCAATCTACACAGCCTTTTTCCCAGTTAGGCAGCAGGAGGGCACCCAGATCCCATCCCATCCCATCCCATCCCATCCCATCCCATCCCATCCCATCCCATCTCCCCCTCCCCTGCCCTCCCCTGCCCTCCCATCCCATCCCATCCCATCCCATCCCATCCCATCCCATCCCATCCCATCCCATCCCATCCCATCCCATCCCATCCCATCCCATCCCATCCCATCCCAGCTGAGAAACCCGGAGATTAGTCCATCCTGTGGCCAGGACCCAGCACAATTGCTTCCCTCCGGATTTCCACTGAGTTAACTAATGGGGGAACTAATGGGCTTGATGGCGCTTACAGATGCCAGTGGAGTGGCATGAAAAGGGTATCCCTTAGAAGAATGCTGCTTTTCCAAACAGACTGTCAAATTACAGCGGGGAGGGGAGGGAGATCTGGGGGAGATAAGAGATCAACCTAAGGACTTGTATGCATGCATATAAGCAAAACCAATGGACGAAAAACTCTGGGGAGGAAGGGCATGTATGGGAGTGGGGGTGGGGGGCAATGGTAAGATATGTACACATATAATACCTTAATTTAAAAAAAAATGAAGAAAAAAAAGAAGAAAGTTGCTTTTCTATCAGGACTGCAGTTGGCAGCAGCAGCCACGCTCCACTTAGGACTGCCGGCGGCTGGACTGCGGGACTCGAACGCGGAGCTGACAGGCGCCCCGCGGGGTCTGTCTGTGGCCGCCCGCGCGTCCCGGTTGCGGCTGCGAAGAGAAGCGACGCGCACAGCTGCCTGGCGTCGGCTAAAGCCTCCCTCTCCTCCTGTGTCCCGCCCCCGTCCCCCGCCCCAGAAATTATCTCCGGCGATGCTGCCGGTTTGATTCCGGGGCCCGCTCGCCCGGGGAGGGCCCTTTTGTTTCTTTGTCTTTAATGACAGTTCCCAGCACCGGCCTGCCATGCCTGGTTAATTTCCTGGATCTCCTGGAGGCAGCTGGGGTGAGATTTCTTCTGCATCATCCTTTTCGGGGATAATTGTTTATGACGTCAGCCTGATTGCTTTTTTTTTTTTTTTTTTGGAGAGAGAGAGAGAGAGAGAGAGAGAGAGAGAGAGAGAGAGAGAGAGAGAGAGAGAGAGAGAGAGAGAGAGAGAGAGAGAGAGAGAGAGAGAGAGAGAGAGAGAGAGAGGAGTCACAGATGGATGGGGAGGCCAGGGACACTGACATTCCTTCAGGGCAGAAGGAGAAGAGAATAGCAGCCTGAAAGCGTGCAGCCAAGAGTCCAGGCTGCACGGAATTAAGTTTATTATTATTATTTCTTTAAAACCCCCTCGGCAGCAAGCGGCTTCAGGTGCTCCTTCCGTGCCGGCGCCCCCCGTGCAGGTGGCGGCGTCAGAGCCTGAACCCCGGGGACCAGCAGGTTCAGGGGCGGAGGGGGCGGGGAAGTGCGTCACCAGGTGGGGAAGGGGCTGCGCGCTGGCGGCCGGCGGGGGGCCGGGGCGGAGGGGAAGGGGAATGGGGCCGGGAAATAGGTTCTGGGCGCTCTCCCCGGGTATTGTGTCAGGAGATGCGGGCTGGCTACCATGTGACGCGGTCCAGCGCTGAAGGGATTGGCCGAGGCGGCGCAGGCGGTGCAGCTCGTCGGCTCCCCGTTCCTCTCCCTTTCTCTCGCAGCATCTTCCCGGGAGCCTTAGGTGAAGCAGCACCAGCCGCATCCATGGCCTGTCGCTGGGGTTAACACTTGTCTTTGGCTTCAGCAGCCACGGATCCGGACGATCGCCTGGCGGCAGCAGCAGCAGCAGCGGCCGCGGCGGTGTGGGGGAGGATTTAGCTGGGACCTGGCATCGTATCCTCCAGTATCTTTTCAGACTCCTTGGAAATTAAGGAATGCAATTCTGCCACCATGATGGAAGGTAGGATGCTTTTCTGCTGTGGTTTGACAGGCTTCAGGCAAGGTGATGGGCAGAAGCCCGGCGTGGGAGGAGGTGTGCAGCCTGCATTTGTGGCTGGTCTAGAACCTGGTTGCCAGGATTTGCAAAGCAGAAGTGCTGCAGTTTGCTTGCAGTGGACCAGGGCTCAGTTCGACTCATGGAATCAAACCACGGGGCTTCGCGTTAGCTCAGAACCTACAGAGCGCCCAGCTCTTTTAAAAAAGGAAAAAAAAAACCTAAAGTGCTTGCAGGGCGATGAGATAGAGCTAGTTAAGGAGCTCGCAGAGCAAATAAGTTGGGAGAGAAGATAAGGTTGTCTGCTCTGGGTTCCTAGGACGACACTGATTAAACATTTACAATGGAAACTTGTTTTCTGAAATTGACATTAGACAGGAGAGGTCATTGACAGAGTTATCCATGCTGCACATTTTTACTGAACTGTTTAGAAAATTTAAGTTCTTGTAGGATATGTTTATCTCTGCAATTTGTATTTGACTGTTGGGGTGACAGATGCAGCAAATTTAGTCCATAAGATATAATTTTATGGGGACATTATAGCAACGGAATGAGCAATATGAGGAAAATATCCAGGCCTCTTGGCTACTGATTCAGGGTCTTATCAGGTTTTGTGTGTGTGTGTGGTTTTTAAACACTGGTGCTTCCTAAATGTGTTCCCTGTACAATGTTTCTTAGCCAAGCATCAAACAATTCCTTACTGATTACCTTTTACATTCAATATTAAGTGTGAGGAGGAAGTTTTCCTGAGATATTGTTTAAACTATATTTTATTCTACTAAATTACCCTTGCAATCCTAAAATAGGGACAGCTGAGATTGCCTAAAAAAAGGCAGCAAGCTGATTAAAGAAGAAACAGGCAGTCTGACCCTGGCTTTGATTTTCTGTTTTCCTACTACAGGATGGTGCAAAACTCCTGGCCTTTCCTAAGATGACAGGCAGAAATTTGTCCCCAGCCTGGATTTCACGATGCAGAATCCAGTGCATAATGGGTCTCAAATCAGCCATGAAAATGGCAGAGAGGCCACCTCTTAAACTAAGGTCTGTCCTAAAGACTTTAAACATTCTCTGGAAATTTACCAAAATAGAATGAGGAGAATGGTTTCAAAACAACAGCAGTGTAGCCTGTACATATTTGGCAGAAAATAATTCTTTTGCTCTCTCTATCATGTCAAACATTATTAATGTGATCTGGTTGAGGGAGGAATTTTATAGTCATGGCCCATAGATTTTAGAAAATAGCCTTAAAAAAAAAAAAGAGGTTGGATATCATTTTTACATGAAGCCTTGTCTTGTTTGCAAAGGGCTCTCAAGCAGTTCTTTAAATATAGGCCAAAATAAACGGATATTACCAATGCTCTCAGATTAAATCATTTTCCTAATTAAAAATGGATTTAATCTATGAACAACAACACAAGACAAACAGAAAGAGTATTACTGTTGTGCTTTTCAATTAAAAGCTCATGTAGATTGCCATTTTCAGAAAAAAAATAAACAAAAAAAACTAAAGAAATCATGTCAATAGAGATACTATGGTTCTTTGCTAAATTTTAGGTAGCATTTCTTAAAAATAAATCTGCACATACTCTGATTCAATTTAATCTTACACCAGGGAGTGGAACATCTTTCATTTTACTTCTTGTCTTGCAAACTATGGAGCTAAAGTGTCTTTGAAGGAAGTAACATTTATTGGTGTTCATTAATGATTCTTCCAGTAAAATTGTCTATTGTGCCATGCCAGAATACCAGCTCAGAGCCCTGTGAGAAGCTTATCTGAGCTGCCCAAACTGAAATGAGAACTGTAACAAAGACTTGTGTTGGAGCTGAATCAACACTATTGGTCTGGGTTTGCCAACTTTACCTAATGAAGGTCGTTATCTCGGCACCTTTATGACTTATAGGTGACCCCATGGATTTCGCTCGCTACCTTCTGTCAGATTTTTGCAAAAGAAATTGGAAAGGTGTTACCATTGACTTAAAAATTTAAATGAAACCAATAACTTTTTTAGCTACACGTAATTCCCACTTAAATGCTTTTCAAGACTTATCATCCTAATGGTTCAGGGATCTTAGAAAGGCAGGTGGGAATCTACACTAGAAATCAATTTACCTATCAATGACCTTCCACATAGGTCTCCGGTCTTTGGGTCAGTATATATACACACATACGTTTCTGATATTTTATCCCAGAATTTCACTTATGAATTGCTCTTATTCTAAAGGCATGGGATAACAGGTATTTTTTATATTAACCTCATCCCTAGTGGGCTGAGAGTGTGTCTCTAAACATCCAGATAGTTTAAATGATTATCTTCTCAACTAGCACCTCTGTCTCTCTCTCTCTCTCTCTCTCTCTCTCTCTCTCTCTCTCTCTCTCTCTCTCTCTCTCTCACACACACACACATACACACACAGTCATCTATACATATGCACTGTTCTAAAAAGGGAAAAAAGCCTACATTTGCACTTGTGTTTGTATATATATCTCTATATTCAGTTAAGTGTTTGAGTCTGCTGCTCAGGAAAAGCATGGCCATAGCAACTTTTCAAAGCTACTTCTCTACTCTGTATAAAACAAGAGTAAACAAATATTCATCTGAATGGCTTATAGGCTAGTCAAGAGTACTTGTTTTGATGGAACAGGATATAGGTTCCATTCATTTAATGCTTATTAGAAATTCTTGTCATAGATGAAAAACAGTGCTCCCTCCTCAGTGATTCTAATATCATGGAAGGCAGTAAAGTAATTCTGCAGGGACCTCCAGCAGCTTACCAGAAGTTTGTGGCTCCAAATATTTCTCTTAAAAAGTATTTTTAAAAGACTTGATTTGATGATTCCCATACTCTTCATTTTTTGCAATGGTTGGTGTTGAGTTTTATATTTCCTAAGAATGCCACATGATGTGGAAATGAATGTGAAGGGAAAGAAGGTGACCAAAGGGAATTATTTGCCAAATGGTGTATGTGTTGTCTAAGCATACAACAGTCTATGTGATTAGGAAAACTGTTCAAAGGTTTTATTGAATTTTATGTTTTATTATTAAAATTTGAAAGTGACATTTTAGCTGTCTCTTCTAAGGTAAGTGAAAAGAACTAAGTCGGGGTTTCTTAGGACATCTGTAAGACAGTCTGGAAAGTTTTCTCTTGTCTGTGCAGAACTGCACTGAAAGTGCTTGTGTTCTTAGTTCCATACTCAGACTCTTAGGTATGGTACTGGAAAGATATGTTTTTTGGTGCCAATGATTTCATCTTATATAACATATTTTTAAATTAACAAGCATATTTTAAAGGTTTAATTAGGATATGCAAGGCGATTTAATAAATTTTGTTATATTTATTATTCACAATAACCCGCATATAAGTATATTCTACATATAGTACTTTTGCAGTACTTTTTTAAATTGCAAAATAAAAAATAATACATTGAGGCAGAAATATGGTGGAATTTGAACCCAAGACCATTAAACAGCAATGCTCATATTTTGGAACCATCGTAATATTTTTTTATATATTTTTATTGATTTTTTTTTATAGAGAGGAAGAGAGAGAGATAAAGAGTTAGAAACATCGATGAGAGAGAATCATCGATCAGCTGCCTCTTGCACACCTCCTACTGGGGATATGCCCACAACCAAGGTACATGCTCTTGACCGGAATTGAACCTGGGACCTTTCAGTCCGCAGGCCAACACTCTATCCACTGAGCCAAACCGGTTTTGGCCCATTGTAATATTTTAAATAGGAACATTTTCTTTTTACTTTGCATCAGGTGGTCTTGGTCATGTTAACCTAATTGGAAATTGGACTTAGTAATTTCTTTGGTGGCATATTCTGACTCTCCCTGTCTTTTAAATATGAGTACTGACACAAGGTATCAATTCCTTGTTAAGAGCTCTTATCTCCAAAATAATTCTTTAAAAATTTTTGAATACCTCTAGATTGACTGACCTGTGGTTGCAATGAACCTTACAATAGTAAAGGCTTTTTTTCCTGTCTGGAAATGGAGTTGTATTTATTTGGAAAATTCTTTGATGTGATCATAATTGAATAATGAATGCATTTTGAGTTTGGAATTGTTCATTTTCTAGTTAGCTAAGAAGTTTTAAAAGAAATGCTTCTGCCCAGCCTTCATGGTTGAGTATCGACCTATGCACCTGGAGGTCATGGTTCGATTCCCAGTTTGGGCATATGTCCGAGTTGTGGGCTCCATCCTCAATGAGGGGCTTTCAGGAGACAGCAGATCACTGATTCTCTCTCGTCATTGATGTTTCTATCTTTCTCTTCCTCTCCTTTCTCTCTGAAATCAATAAAAATATATATTTTTAAAAATGCTTCTAACTTTCCTACTGATTCCCTTCCTAGAAATAGTGAAGTTATTCTGGAAAATCTTAAGTATGCATACAAGATTCTAATATATGTTCTATCATTTATATAATTCCTCTCCTTTTTCAAGGTTCTGTGTCAGAAAGAGCCTGTTATATGTATGTTTCCATCCAATTTCAGGGGTCAACTCTAAATCTCTCAAAAGAACATGCAGTCTTTTTAAAAAATTAACTTGTATAAACCATTCTAGAAGATTCTGGAAAATTCTTCCTGCTGAATTTGGCACATACACTATCCATGTTTTAAATAAACAAGTTGCAGGAAGTCACCAATCACAGTTTTCATATTCCTGAAAGTTTATTTATGAATTTTCCTCTTGAAATAAGTTTTCCCATAGAAATAGTAATATAAATGATAGATTCTCATATTTGTCCGTTAAAGACTATTAAACCCATTATCTAGTTAAAATGCTAAATGTTTGCTATGAAGTGTGTAAAGAATAATACAGTTACTATAGTAATTAGCAAGAAGAACACAATGGCATTAAATTGGTTTCAAATTTGAATGTTGCTCTGAGGGAAAGAAGGCTTAATTAAAGGACTCTGCGAAGATGAAGAGAAAATGTGAAGGGAATTTTTAGGTATA